CTCCCCCCCGCCGTCCGCGATCCATCGATCGACGCGAGGAAAGGGAAGCGCGGACGGACGGACGGACGGACGCTTCCGAGCGCCGCGGCGACGCCGGAGGAACGGCCTCGCGCTCGCGTCGACGCGCCGTCGACGTCGCGAAGGACGCGTCGACGCGCCGCGACGAACGCCGAAACCGTTCCGGGGACGATCGCGCGGCGGGACGACGCGCCGCGACGCGCGCGGCGCGTCGTCCGCGCGCGTCGCGGCGGCGTCGTCGATCCGCGTCGAAGATACTCCGCGACGAGCGAATCGAACGAATATCGTCCCGTCGCGCGTCGCTCGCGGCGCCCGGGGGCATCGCGCGACGTTCGCGGCGCACCTTGGAGCGTCGGTGCGAGCCGCGCGAACGGCTGTGCGCGGTGCGCGTGTCGCGTGACGCGCGTGCGGTGTCCGCGGCGCGCGTGCGGAGCTGTCTACGGCCGGCGCGAGGGAGACGGCGTCTGGTGTTGACACTTCTCTCCGGAACGCGGCTGATGCGTGATGACGATTTTCTGTTCGCTCTCTTCCTGTCTTGACTGGATGAAGTTTCTTTATAGAAGGAAGGCGGCTCGCGCCGTCCCCGTCTTCTATCTCGCGCGTCGTTCACTCTATCGGGTTCGACCCCGTCGGCGACGGCGGCTTATTCTTCCCGCCGCCGCCGCCGCCGTCCGTCGCCGGCTTCGTCCGCGTCCCGAGCCCTCTCCCCGGAAGCCCGCCGGCGTCCTTTCGCGTCGTCGTCGTCGTCGTCGTCGTCGCCTTCGCCTTCGCCTTCGCGGACGCCCCCCCGGGTGCCGCCGCCGCCGCCGCCGCGGCGGCGGCCCAGTCCACGGCGCCGTCCGCCGCGTCGGTTCGCGGCGTTCTCCGCGTCGGGTCGGCGTGCGATCCGCCGCTCGATTTCGATTTCGATTTCGACTTCGACTTCGACTTCGACTTCGCCTTCGCCTTCGCCTTCGCCTTCGCCGCCTTCGCCGCCTTCGCCGCCGCCGCGACGGCGCGTTCCGCCGCCGCCGCCGTCGCCGCCGCGCCCGGTCCGGGGCCGCCGAGCTCGAAGATAGCCGCGTCGTCGTCCACGTCATCCGTCGCGTGCGCGTATCCGACCACGGAGGGCGGCGTTCGTCCCTGGGGCCCGCGGTTCCCCGCCGCCGCCGCCGGGTCGGTCGTCGTCGTCGTCGGTCGGGCAGATCCAACGCCTCGTCGCGATCCCTCGGCGGGGACGTCGGAGGCCGCCGCCGCCGCCGCCGCCGCGTACCGCGCGCGTCGTTGCGACGCGGCGAACTCGTCCAAGACCTCGTTCCACGAGTCCCGTCTCCCGCCCATCCCCAAGGGCGATCCCATCATCCCCGAGGGTATCGCCCCCGAGGGTCCCGTCGACGTCCCGGGGAAGGGTCCCATCGACAACCCGGGGCTCCAGGACGGCTCCACAGCAGCAAACGCGTCGTCGCGCAATCGCTTCTCGTGCGCGCCTCGTCCTCGTCCCCATCCGCCGCCCGCGTTAGGAAGGACGTTCGAGGACGGGTCCCACTCCCCCGCGCGAACTCTCTCGGGCGTGAGCCACGTGAACTGCCTGGAGACGCGCCGTCGCGTGCGCGGATCGATGGACGATACCGTCGCGTCCTCGTCCCGTATCGCGACCCACGTCGTGTTGCCGTCCTCGTGCAGGCAGTGGAACGGGTGCGACTCCGTCGGGTCGTAGTATACGACGCACGCGTTGAAGTATCTTCGGTGGCCGTTCTCGGACACCTTGCATACGCGCAGACGGCGACCGAGCCATCGGTGCGCGTCGTCGAGATGTTTCCGCGACGACGCGGAGAGCGTCGCGGCGGGCGCGGGCGACGACGGCGCGGCGGGGGAGTTCCCGACCGCGAGCCCGGGTTTAGGATGCTTCGCGCGGCCGACGCCGCGGCCGGCGCCGCGACCGCCGGTCGCCTTGCGCTTCGGCCGCGACATCCTCGCCGGGACCTCGCGCTATGACGCCTCGGGGCGGGGGGGAGGATTCGGAGTGATAACCCTCGCTCGCGTCGCGCTGCAGCTTTTTTTGGGCGCGTGGCGTGTATCAGCGCTGGCTGGCTGGAGCGCTTCTGAGAGTGAACATCTCACTCATCTCGGGCAGTCGTCTCTGGCGAACGAACGCGAGTCTCCCACGCGCGCTACCTACGACGGCTTTCGTGATTTATGTACAAGAACCAGGGTCCCGCCTAATATGTACGACGCCGCGCCGGCCACGACGCGCCTTCCCTTCCGCCGCCCGGGTCCTTCCCCCGCCGGACGAAGACGTCCATCCGTCCGAAATCATCAGATGATCCCGTCCAGCGCTCGGTGCACGTTGCTCTTGTCGATGCCGACGACGAGCCCGTCGTCCTTGTACATCGCCCCGCCGAACCTGTCCGTGAAATCCCCCTTCACGCCGTGCCACCGCATCGGCATGTCCGCGGGCGTGACGCGCTTCGCGCCGTAGACGTTGGCGGAGGTGGCGTAACACGCGTGCTGCTTCGGAACCTCCAACTTCCACGCCGCCGCGTCGGCGAACCGAGGCGGGAGGACCGCGCCGGGGATGCCCAACCGCTTCGCGAACGACTCCGTCATATTCTCCGACGCTTTCATCGCGTTGTATTTCGACAGGACGACGTCCATGTCCGCCTCCGCGGCGACCGCGCGCAGGCGGTAGTCGCCCGCGCGTGACGTCCGCGCGTGAATCTTTTCGCGCAAAATTTTCGCGCGCGCGTCGTCGCGTGCGGCGCCGACGCCGCCCGTCTTGAGCGTCGCAAATTTCGCGGACGCCTTCTCCTTCTCTTCCGCGTAAAACTTGAACACGTCGCACGCGTGCTCGTACGCCCCGAGCGTCTTCACGCTGAACGCGTGCTTCATCTCGAGCGCGTGCACGATGACGTTGCACTGGACGTACGACATCAAGTGCCCGAACCGTTCGCTCGCGGCGCATCGCAACGACGGCGCGACCGTGTCGAAGAACGCGCGCACCAGCGGCGTCGTCCCTCTCCTCAAGAACGTCACCGGTCCCAACGCCGCGGTGTTGCCGTCCCACGCGCTCGCGTCCGGGTACGGCGCGGCGCCGAGCACCTCGGGAAACGTCACGCGGCCTCCGGCGCCGTTGTCTCTCAACTTTAGCAACACGTGCTCGCTCGGCGTCGCGCCCTCTCCCCCAAAGTCCACGTCCACGAACGTGAAGACGTCCTTCCCTCGCGAGCGCGCGTGGTCGAGCACGCTCCGCAGGTCGTAGTCCGGCTCCGGGACGTGCTCGCCGTCGATGACGAGGAGGTGGTTCGCGCGGTCGTGCGCCGCGCTCTCCGCGACGTGCAGGAGGTCCGCCGCGATCCCTCCTCGCGCGTCCGCGTCCGCGTCCGACGCCGCCGCGTTCTCCGCGCACACGAGCGAAGCGTTCGCTGGCATCGCCCCCGACGCCGCCCACGCCTCGAACGCGGCCGCGTCGTCCTTGTTGTGCGCGATGAGGACGTTCGCGATGGCGCCGTCGCATCGCGCGATGGCGTTCAGCCAGTGCTCGACGACGAGCGCGTCGTGCACGGGGAGCAGCGCCTTCTTGGTGAGCTTCCCACCGTTCGCGCTCCCCATCTCCGCCGCGAGCGCGGCGCCGTGGGAGGACGCGAGGATCAGCGCGGTCGTCTTCGCGGTGTGGTTCGTCGTCGCCTCGAACGCGACGGAGCTGCGGCGCGGGGACGGGGATCGGGGGGGAGGGATGGGGCGTCATCAGGCCGGCGTCGTCGCAACGGGACCCGAATTAGGGAAGTGGACGACGACGACGCGCGCGGGGCGCCGACGCGGCGCGCGGGGCGGGGTCCGCGCGCGACGCACCCGCGCGGACGCGACGTCTCGAGGCCGAACATGAGCCCGGTAGCGCCCTGCGTGGACTCCATTCTCGCCGAGCGGCTCGAGCGTCGGCGGCGCGGCTCGGAGTGTCGCCCGCGGCGCGCGACGGTAGACGTTCCCCTCTGATGAGGGCGGTTCTTGCGAAAACAGTTCATCGGTCAGTTGAAAGGAGACGCGATCAAGTGTTGAAACCGAGCGGTGGGTGAAAAACTTTTGTATCGAACCTGAGTCCGCAGCGGTCGGTCGAGCGCGTCGGGTTGACAATCAATCCAGTTGACCTTGCCTCGCTCCTCGCGCGCGCGCCATTCGGAGCGCCGCCCTCTCCCAGGTCGGGTCGTCCCCGGCGGGTCGCGTCATGCCGACGCAGACGGAGGTGAACGAGTGGAAGATCCGCGTCCTCGAAGCGCGCGAGGAGCTCAGGGTCGAGCGCGAGAACGGCGAGCGGAAGCTCAGGGCGAAGAGCGATGAGATCGACGCCGTGCAGTCCGCGCTCGACGCCGCGAACGCGTTCAAGGAGGACGGCGAGACCGCGCGCAGACGCCTCGCGACCGTGGAGGCGTCGTGCGCGGACCTTCGACACGAGCTGATCGTCGCGCAGAAGGAGCGCGACGCCGCGGTGCAGAGGGTGGAGACGACGAAGCGCGCGGGCGCGAGCACGCTGATGGAAGCGAAAGCGGAATCGGCGAAGAAGCAAGCGGAGCTCGACGAAGCGAACGAGGAGACTCGAAAGCAGGCAGAGGTCGCGAGAAGAGCGTGCGAGGAGCTCGCGGCGACGCGAGTGGAGATGACCGCGATGCGCGGGGAGGTGGAGGAAGCGCGAGCGGCGCGAGCGGCGAGAGAAGCCGCGGACGCGGCGGACGCGGCGCGAGCGGCGGATGCGACGGAGGCGTCGGCGGCGGACGCGGATGCGGCGACGGACGCGGCGATGAACGAGATGCTCCGCGCGGACCTCGCGGAAGAGACGCGCGCGCGAGAGAACCTCCGCGGCGAGCTCGCGCGGACGAAGGAGAAGCTCGCCGCCGCGGAGCGGAGCGCGGAGTCGATGACGCGTCGACTCGAAGACGCGCGCGCGGAGACGGAACGCGCGCGCGAAGCCGCGGACGACGCGGCGCGAGCGGCGGCGGCGGCGTCCGCGAGGACCCCGCCGCCCGTCGCCGCGGTCTTCAACCCGCGAGTATCATCTCCTCGTTCGCCGCCCGCCCCCGACGCCGGCGCGCTCGCGGCGGAGCTCGAGGCGGCGCTGGACGCGACGACGAGGGAGTTGAACGAGGCGAACGCGCGCGCGAGTCGCCTGGAGCGTCGCGTCGCCGCGGCGGAGGCGGCGGCGGCCGTCGCCGGCGCCGCCGCGGGCGCCGCCGCGGAGGAGGCCGAGAAAGCCGCGCGCGAGATGCGGTCGCTCGAGGTGGCGCGCGCGGAGGAGCTCAGGGCGCTTCAGGAGCGGACGGTCGCCGCAGAGGCGGAGGCGGCGGCGTGGCGGGCGGAGGCGGCGGCGGCGGCGGAGGCGACGCGCGCGCGCGAGGCGCTCGAGGAGGAGGCGGAGGCGGAGGAGGAGGCGGAGGAGGCGGAGGAGGCGCGGCGGCGCGCGCCGGGGGTGGCGTGGGAGGTGTCCGCGCGCGGGTCGGCCGGGTCCCCGGGGGGCGCGACGTCGCCGGAGGAGCGCTCGAGCGCGAGGGAGACGACGAACGCGGACTCGGCGGCGGCGGCGGACCTTCGAGCGGCGGTGGAGGCGATCCTCCCGTCGTTGCTCTCCGCCGCGGGCGTGGATGTGAACCGTCACCAGCGGCACGTCGAGCGCTTCCGGCCGTCGCCGATGAGCGCGAAGGGGAAGGGCGCGGACGCGAATCGACGCGGCGACAGCGGCGACGGCAGCGACGGCGGCGGCGGCGGCGGCGGCGGCGGCGAACCGACGAACGCGCTCCGCGACCGCATTCGACGCGGCGAACTCGCGTCGCCGCCGTCGTCGGTCGACGTTCCACTTTCCGCGCCGTCTGACGTCTTCCCCCGCGGGCTTCGACGCGTCAACGCGGTGAAGGGCAACGCGGCGCACGACTCAGAAGTCGACGCCGTCGCCGCCGCCGCCGTCGCCGCCGCCGCCGCCGCGGAGCTCGAAGCGATCGCCGCGCCGCCGGAGCCGTGGCGCCCCGACCGCGAGTGGATCTCGCCGTCCGCCTCGCCGATGAAGACGCGGGTCGACGACGAGGAGACGCGGAGGAGGAAGGCGGCCGTGGCGGACGCGGCGGCGCGCGCGCGGTCGCCGTGGCGGCGCCGCGGACCTGGTCCGGGTTCGCCGCGCCAGCTGGCGACGACCGACGACCGGTCCCGGTCCCGGTCCCGGTCCCGATCGATCGTCCTCGCGCGCGGCGTCGGGGTTCGCGCCGCGGACGCGGACGACGACGCGTCGTACGCGGAGCAGACGAGAGAGGCGACCGCGCTGGCGACGAGCCTCGCGCGTCAGAGCGAGCTTTTGGAAAAGCTGCGGCTCTCGAGGGAGCGGAGACGCACGGAGTTGGACGACGTGCGGCACGCGCTGGACGAGCTCACCGGGTACGTGGACTGACGCGCGATGCGATGCGATGGACGCGTCGTGCGTGGCGTGAGGATAGGAAGAGGAGGAGCGGCGCGGAAGCGTTCGGTCGCTTATTCAGTACGTATTAACTTTTAGCTTCGTTCGTTTATTCATACAGCGATCTTTCCTTTTGCGAAGTCGAGCGGCTAGTGCTCATCGTAGCCGCGTACGCGCCCGCGGCGATCTCCGACCGATCAGAACTCGCCGGAGACCTTATCCTTGAGCGCGTCGAACTGCTCCAGAAGCTCCTTGCGGGAGTCCTTGTACAGGACGTACCGGTACACGAACCAGGACGAGTACCCGAGCCCGACGAGCTCCATGACCTTCGGGAGAATCGGGATCGAGTTGATGGCGCCGACGACGGTGCCGCTGAGCCAGACGACCGCGGCGGCGCCGGCGACGTACGTGATCACCGTGGACTTGTTCTCGGTGTCTTCCCACTGCGAGGAGGGAGGGAGCGCGATCGGTTGGTCGATCGGTTGGTTAATCGGTCGCGACGGATGGGGGACGGACGCGCGTTAACGACGGCGACGGGCGGACGTTTCGGCGAGAAAACCGCTGGCAGGGAGAACAGAGAGCGAGCAGAGGCGGGCGCTTTTGGTGGGGCGACGTCGAGATCGCTCGATCGAGCGGTTCGATCGCCGCGCCGCGGGGCGATTCGCGTCGGAACCGGAGCGCACCTTGTCGGAGATCGTCTTGAGGACCTCGTCCGCGTTGATCTTGGAGTCCGCGACCGCCATGGTGGAGACCTTGGAGCGCGTGAACGTCTGCGGATCGATCGGGGAGAGGGGTATAAAGAGAAGATGAGAACGCGGCACGGCGCGGAGTTCCAAAAAAAAAACTCGAAGCGGCGGAAAGATCACGACGTCGCGCCTCCTCGCGCCTCCTCGCGCGCGTCGATCGCCGCGACCGCGGCGCGATGCTACCGTACGCGCTGCACGCGCGCATCGCGCGCGCGCGCGGGACGAGAGCCGCGTCGACGACGCCATCGCGCGCGTTCGCCCGGGCGACGATCGCTTCCCGGGAAAAAAAAGAGAAGATCGATGCCGCACGAATGCGATTCCGACCGCCGGCGTACCGTCTTGGGAGCGACCTTCGCGCCCTTGAAGGAGGACGCCTTGAGCGTGCGCGCCGCGCGCGCCTTGGAGGCGACGACGCGGGGGGCGAGGACGGCGGAGGGGGCGATGATGGCGGCCATTATTGCGTGTATCGAGCACGGATTAGTGCGCGCGAGATGCCGTTCGAAGACAGGTAACAAAAAACCGCGTATCGGCGTGATATTTGCGACTCGCAGCGTCCAACCGCTGCCACGGTGGACACCCGATTCGCCTTGCACAGGGCATTTAGTCAGAGGACGAGTACGAAAGCGCGTCGTACCGCGCCTCGCCGCAGCTGGTTCAATTTTTTCGAAAGCCGTCGAAGCCGGTTTTCGCGTGCCCACTCGCCGCTCGAGCGCGGAGCGAGATCCGCCCCGCGTCATGGGCGTTCTCGCGTTCGGGGACGCCTCCACGTGGGCGACGCGCGCGACGGAATCGGCGGCGGCGGCGACGACGGCGACGGCGACGACGGCGACGACGCGCGCGCCGACGCCCTCCGCGGCGAGCGAGGGAGGCGTCGTCGCCCCGTCCGCGACGAAGCGGAAAGTGGGCGATGTCGTCTCGCTCGCGTCCGTGGTGCGATCGACGCCGACGGCGAAGGCGACCCCGGGGGGGTCGGCGACGCCGCGGAGTAACCCGAACTTCGCGCCGAGGAACGCGTGGCCAGGTATCACATCTCGTCGTCGTCGTCGTCGTCGTCGTCGTCGTCGTCGTCGTCGTCTCGCGAATCGATCGCCTCGCTCGAAGCGAACGCCGCGCCGTCTCGTCTTCAAACCGAACGCTCACGCTCACGTCCCGTCGACGCCTCCGCAGAGGGCAAGTTCACGATCAAGTACCCTAAAGGCTACGACCCGAACACGAAGACGTTCGCCACCGCGGGCGCGGGCGCGAACGTCGTCGTCGAGAAGCTCCCCGCGGCGAAGCGCGCTGCCGCGGCGGCGGCGGCGGCGGCGCGGGAGGTCGCCGCGGCGGAGGCGAGAGAAGCCGCGGAGAAGGCGTCCGCCGCCGCCGCGGAGGCGCTGTGCTTGGACGCGGAGTACATGGAGAGGGTGAGAGCGCAGCGCGAGGCGAGGCGCGTCGCGTTGGAGAAGAAGAGGAACGCGGGGGGAGGAGGGAGTAACGCGCCCGCGGTGGCGGTCGCGAAGCTCCCGGAGCCGGAGCCGGACGCGGCGTTGATGAGACGAGTCGGCGTCGACGACGCGTACATGGCGCGACTGAAACAGCAGAAAGAAGAGCGCGAGCGTTTGAAGCAGGCGAAGGCGCTCAAGGCGAAAGCGTGGTCGAGCGCGGGCGCGGGAGGGAGTAACGCGCTCGCGGGGGCGGTTACGCCCGCGAAGACGCTCACGCTCGAGGACTTCGACGGCGACGAAGAGAAGTTTTACGAGGCGACCTACGAGCAAAGGGCGCGCGAGCAAGCGGCGCAGAGGGCGTTGGTCGCGGCGACGAGGAAACAGAACGCGGAGGCGGCCGCGGCGGCGGGCACCATCGGCGGCGGGACGAACGGGAAACAGAAACGGCGGAAGAAGTGACGTCACGTCGCGACGTCCGTCCGACGACGCGTGAAAGTCCTTAAGGATCGGCGTTCACCACGCCGACGCGGTCGTATGGGGACCAGTGTGTGTAGATGCTCGAGAACAACAGACCAGACTCGTTGTTCTATTCTATCGCGATTCGCCGCCCCTCGCCCCCTCCGTCCCCTCCGTCCCCGCCAGCGCCCTCGTGAGCGCGTCCGCCCCTCCCTCGATCGCGTACGGCGCCCTCTCCGCGGACGACAGCAACACCTTCCCGGTCTGCCAATCGTTCTCCTCGAGCTGCCTCATGAACTCGTCGACGTCTCGAGCCGCCCGCGTCGCGCTCTCCCTCGTCGCCCACTCCCTTCCCTCGCTCGCGCTCAGGTCCACTCGGAACGGCAGACACCGCAGATGCGCCACCTGAAGCACCGCCTGCATGACGTCCCTGCTGCTCGCGCGCGCGGACAGCGCGATGAACGCGCTGCCTTTCAGCCCGCCGCCGCGCTTTTTCTTCTCCCAGCCCCCCAACGCGTCGAGAGTCGTCCTGAGGGTAATTGTCCATACGAGCGAACGTCGGGGTGGAGTTGAAAGGCGTCAGAAGCGGAGTTGAAAGGCATCGCTCGCGGTGTGTCGGGATTGTGAGCGAGGGGTGATGGTCGGAGAGAAACGCCCGCCGGGAAGAAAAGTCCTCAAGGAACGGCGTGCACCGCGCCGACGCGGTCGTACGGGGACCGGTGTGAAATAAATAGAACGCGCCTCAACGCGCCGCCCAGGACGCTCCCCACGCCCTTCTTCCCTCGCGGCGGCAAGTACGTCAGGCAGTACGGCCGGCTCGGGTCGTCCCCGAGCGCGGTGCGCAGCGCCTCGGGCGTCGGGCACGCCTCCGCGAGGTGCGTGATCTTCAGAGGCAGCGAACTCTCGTCCATGCGCGCGGGAATGAAGAGACGCTCCGCCGCGGCGACGCTCACCGCGCTCGGAATCGTTCCCGTCTCCACGAACCCCGCGGCGATGATCTCGCCTCTCTCTTTGTTTATCGTCCGCAGCCGCACGGACTTGAGCTCGCGGTAGATGCAGTACAAGTCCACGGACGCGAGCGGCGCGAACGCGAGCAGCGGGACCGCGAGTCGAAGCCGCGGGTTCGCGATTTTGCCGGTCCAGCCGGTGGCGACGACGGCGAGCGCGAGGCCGATGTTATCCGCGAGCACCTGCGCGTGGGGGGGGGTTCGTGGTGAGTGATTGGTTCGATTTGATGACATGTTCAAACGAGTGGCCAGGAGGCAATCGCGGAGTGACACGTGTCGGCGTCGGCGTCGCGCGTACCTGCTGCGCGGAGGTTTTCGCGGCGATCTCCGCGAGGTTTTCCTCCAACGCGAACGACATCTGAATCGGCGCTCTGACCACGTTCGCGGTCGTTATCCCGACGCTCTTCCCCACGTTCGCGATGGTGGCGAGCAACAAAAACTTCGACGGGTAAAACGGCGTGATCATCTCGATGAGCGACGCGCAGTCGTACACCACCGAGGACGTGAATCGAAATCGCTTGACGTCCGAGTCTGAGGGTCGTTTCATACAAGCGAATGTCGGGGTGGAGTCGAAAGGCGTCAGATGGAGTTGAAAGGCGCCGAGGGCGGGGATTGAAACCGTGTGGTGGGCGAGAGAACCGCCGGGAAAAGTCCTTAAGGATCGGCGTTCACCACGCCAACGCGGTCGTATGGGGACCAGTGTATAGAACGCACCAAACTCTCGCCCAAAGTTGGTCGCCACGGACAGCTTCCCGAGGCGCCCGAGGCCGTCTTTCAGGACCCAGTTCACGGCCGCCGCGGCGGGGAGGCGCCGCGTCGCGCCCAGCCCCACGGCCTGGAGCATCTGCTGCGTCGCGAAGACGGTGATGCACGACGACGCCACGCGTTGCGCGAAGCGAAATTTCGCGTACGCCCAGTAATCGGGCGTCACCGCGTTCGCGCACGGCAGGAACGCGTCCACGACGCGGCGCCGCGTCCGCTCCGCGCGGCGCCACTGGACGCGCATCGCGCTCCTCGCGTCTCCCGCATCTCCTCCCTCGCGGTCTCCGCCCCTCTCGCCGGGCCCCGCGGACCGAAGCGCGTCCGCTTCCTCGGGGAGGAGGAGCCGAACGACGCCGCGGTCGAGCGCGTACTGCTGCGGATCCGCCCCCGGGCGCGACTCCCACAGCGGCAGGAGCTTGAAGGGCGCGGACGATGCCGACGTGGAGGAGGAGGACGCCGGCGTCGACGCCGGCGCCGGCGTCGCGCCCGTCAGCGTCGCGCTCGCGACGCACGGACGACGCGGAGGACCGACGCGGCGGCGCGTCGTCCACCGCCGGAGGTGACGACGATGATGGTTTCCGTCGTCGTCGTCGTCCGCGGTCGCCTCGTCGCCGCCGTCGTCGCCGCCGCGGTCGCCGCGCCGCCGCCGACGCCGCCTCCACGGCGGCGGCGGCGACCACAGCATCGCGCCCGGCGCGGGCTGAGCCATCGCGCGAGTTCGAGTGACGGGCGACAGCGACAGAATTCAGAATAATGGCGGCTCGAAACTGATGACTCATCAGACGGAGGAAAATAGACTAACAACGATACCCGTGACGACTCAATAACGCAGAGCTCTCTTCTCCCTCTCTCCGACCCGACGCCGACGCCGACCCGAACGCGGCAACGCGCGCGTCGTCGTCCATCGCGACGCAACAACCACGCGGTCATCGATCACGTCACGTCGTGTACTCCGCGTTGATCTTGACGTAATCGTACGTGAGATCGCACCCCCACGCCGTCCCCGCGCCGCCGCCGCCCCCGACGCTCACGTCCACCGTCACCGTCCCGTGCCTCCCCGTCGTCTCCTTCAGGTACGCGCTCGCGGCGACGGCGTCGTAATCCAACGGCTGGCCGCGCTCCATGAGGACGTGCGGCCCGAGCGCGATTCTGAGATCGCTCTGCTCGAAATCCACGCCGGCGTAGCCCGCGGCGGCGGCGAGCCGCCCCCAGTTCGGGTCGTGGCCGAAGACGGCAGACTTGACGAGCGACGACGAGATCACGGACCGGGCGACGCGGCGCGCGTCCGCGTCCGAGGTGGCGCCGGTGACGACGCACTCGATGAGGCACGTCGCGCCCTCGCCGTCCCACGCGATGCTCTTCGCGACGGCGACGCAAACCGCCTCGACGGCGCGTTCGAGCGTCGCGGCTTCCTTCGAGCCCTCCTCGATGACGTCGCCGCCCGCGGCGGCGGAGGCGAGGCCGATCACCGTGTCGTTCGTGCTCGTGTCGCCGTCGACGCTGATCTGGTTGAACGAGTTCGTCGCCGCGCGCTTCAGCATCGCCTTCCACGCCGCCGCGTCCACGTTCGCGTCCGTGGTGATCACGCCGAGCATGGTCGCCATGTTCGGGTGAATCATCCCGCTGCCCTTGCCCATCCCCCCAATCTTCGCCCTCCTCCCGCCGCCCAGGTCCACCTCGATCGCGATGGACTTCCGCACGAGGTCGGTCGTGCAGATCGCCGTCGCGGCGGCCGCGGCGGCGTCCGCGCCGGCGCTCAGGTTGGCCGCGAGCGTCGGCACCGCGGCGAGGAGCTCGGGCATCTTGATGCGTTTCCCGATGACGCCTTGGAGTTGAAAGGCGTCAGTTGAAGTTGAAAGGCGCCGAGGGCGGGGATTGAAAGCGAGGTGTGGGCGGAGAGAGACGCCAGGAAAAGTCCTTAAGGATCGGCGTTCACCACGCCGACGCGGTCGTATGGGAACCAGTGTAAGATAGAACGCACCCGTGGACTCGAGCAGCACCTCCGAGGCGTCGATCCCGAGCGCGGCCGCGACCGCGTTCGCGCTCGCGACCGAGTCCTCCATCCCTTTCGTGCCCGTCGCCGCGTTCGCCTGCCCCGCGTTCACGAGCACCGCTCTCGCGCGCGCGTTGTTCGCCATCGTCTCTTTGCAGTACAGCACCGGCGCGGCGGCGACCATATTTTTCGTGAAGACGCCGGCGGAGAGCGCGGGCTCGTCGGCGACGACCAGCGCGCAGTCTGCCCTCGTGCCGGTCGCGCGCAGGCCCGCCTTGAGCGCGGCGGCTTTGAACCCGATCGGGGCGCACACGCCGCCGTCGATCGGGGTCCACGACGCGTCCTTCGGGAGGAGCTCTGAGATGGGCGCGTCCGGGAGCTGGAACTCCGCGGCGGCGTAATCCGTCGCCTGAGGGCCATTCTATACAAGCGAATGTCGGGGTGGAGTTGAAAGGCGTCAGTTGAAGTTTAAAGACGTCGAGGGCGGGGATTGAAAGCGAGGGGTGGGCGGAGAGAGACGCCGGGAAAAGTCCTTAAGGATCGGCGTTCACCACGCGAACGCGGTCGTATGGGGACCAGTGTATAGAACGCACCTCCGTCGCCGTCGCTCTGGGAATCGTCGTCGACGACGACGACGACGACGGCGACGCGCGGCGGCGGACGGGGGCGGTGGACGCGCGGCGTCGCGGTATCGCGGCGGCGCGCGCGGCGGGCGCGCGCGCGGCGGCGGCGGGCGCGGTCGCGGTCGAGCTCATCATCGTCGCGACGACGACTGAACGATCGATCTATCGACCGATCGATCACAGCTGGCGGTCCTTCAAAAACTTGACGAGGTCTCCGAAGACGCGGTCCACGCCCGCGTTCCACGCGCGTCGGATCCCGTTCTTCGCGGTCGCGCCGAACACGGGCTCGTCCGCCTGGGCGAGAGAATCGGCGCGGGGGCGAGTTGGGGGGCGGGGTGGGGCGGAGGTGAGGTCAGACGCCGCCGTCTGGAGGGAAACCTGAGCGCGTCGAGGAAATAAACCAGACCGCGTTGTTGGTTCCGCGATCGGTCGGTCGATCGATCGAGAGCGATCGGCCGGCGCACCGGAAGAGGCGGCTGCGGCGGCGGCGGGGAGGGGAACTTGTCCGCGAGCGCGGACGTGGAGCTCCAAAGAGAGCGCTGCGAGAGGATGGGACGGGGGAGGCGGTCAGCGAGACGTCGCGACGACGACGCGACCGAGGGACGCGTCGGGGGAGGAGGTGGTCGGGGAAACGAGCGGAGCGACGCGTCGAATCTCGTCGTCTTCGCCGCGCGCGTCCGCCCGGAGAGCGCGCCGCGAGGACGCACCCGAAGGTTCACGTAAGAGGCGGCGCCGAAGGCGAGGCCGAGAGTCGTCCAGAGAAGACGCTCCTGTCGCGCGATGGACATCCACGGGAAGCGCGACGCGCGGAGCGCGCGAGGGAAGTGCCCGCCCCGGCGCGTGCTGTGTCGGGTTTTATTTCTCGTCGCCAGTGCATCAGTTTGGGCACGGAGAGAAATCAGCGACGGCATCGAGACGCACTTCGATGGACGCGGGCGTGAACGCGCGGCACCGCGACCAGTGCGTCGAGGAAGCGTCTTACGCCGGCGCGAAGGGCGCGGCTCTCGGGATATCCCTCTCCGCGCCGCTGGTCTACGCCGCGCATCGACTCTCGCCGACGTTTCGCCGATTCACCGCGAGCGCGAAGACGGGCCTCGTGGTGACGCCGTTCTTCGGGCTCTTCTTCCTCAACAGCGAGCTGACGATGAACGCGTGCGCGCAGCGACGGAATCAGTTCGCGGAGGTGATCGCGCCGAAGTAGGGAGGGCACCGCGAGGGCGCGTCGAGAGTCGGGTGGCGCGTCGCGCGATAGGATCAGATAGAAGACGCGATGGGAGCGGCCGCGCGAGCGGATCCCGCCGACGCTGACGGCAGGGCGGATGACGAGAAGACGACGCCGACGCCGACGCCGACGCCGCGGCTGCGTCTTCTCCCCCCGCCACAAATTCCCGCCGCGTTCGATCCCCCTCCGCCGTTGTGGCCGGATCGCCCGCGCGCGGCGGCGCTCCGCGCCGTCGCCTCGCGCCTCCGCGCGCTGACGCGCGGGACGTCGCCCGCGCGGATCGAATCCGCGGCGAGGCTCCGCGACGCCGTCGCCGCCGCCGCGCCGGGCGTCGACGCGCGCGCCGCGCGCAATCACTTCTGGCGGCTCCTCCCGTCGCGCGCGAAGACGCGCGGCGCGGAGGGCGCGTCCAGGGCGCTGCTCGCGTTCATGTGCGAGCGCGAGCCGCGGCGAACGGTGGAGGTGATCGGGCGAGATCCCGACGCGTGGCGCGCGTTTTTCGACGCTTCCGACGCGCGAATCAAACTGTGGTTCTCGCACTTCGTGCCGAACGCGAAGCACACGAGAGGCGCGAGGGCGCTGGCGAACTTCGCGCTCGCGCGGCGGGAGGTGGCGTGGCGGCACATCGCGTGGAGGGGGAAGCACGCGCAGACGCCGGTGGTGGTCGCGAACAAGCTGCATTACTTTTGCGACGTCGACGTGCTCGAGACGGTCAGGCGCGTTCTGTACACTGGTCCCCGTACGACCGCGTCGGCGTGGTGAACGCCGATCCTTAAGGACTTTTGCCGGCGCATCTCTCCGCCCACGCCACGCTTTCAATCCTCGACCTCGATGCCTTTCAACTCCGCTTCTGACGCCTTTCAACTCCACCCCGACGTTCGCTCGTATGGAACGTACCTCAGGAATCTGATCGACGACGAGCCGTCGTTCTGGAGCAGCGACGAGCTGTGGGAAACGCTCGAGACCGGGGAGGTGCTCGCGATCGATTACGAGCACTTCTCGAGCGTTTTATACAGACGCCTGCGCGTCGACGCGGAGGCGCGCGCGCGCGGGAGGCCCTCCGACGCGGACGCGGCGAGGCTCCTCGACCTCGTGGACGAGTACGTCGGCGCGGAGAATTTTTCGCTGCTGTGCCAAAAGACGCTGCAGTTCCTCAACGAGGACGACCTGTGCGCGTTCACGCGAGGGTTGCTCCCGGCGAGCGCGCTCGAGGACCCGGAGACGGCGACGGCGGTCCTCGCGGGGGGTGCGAAGGACGACGCGCGGGGTGGTGGGAACAAGAAGAAGAAGACGACGACGACGACGACGACGCGAGGGACGGAGAGAGAGCCCGGGGAAATCGCGGACCCGCGGCGCGCGTACCCGTACGAACGCGACGAATACGACGACGACGCGTGTACGCCACGTGGACGCCACGTCGACCCGCGCGACGTCGCGGCCGCGGCGGCGTTCGCGGGCGTGCGCTGGGCCGGCGAGCACGAGGTCGCGCTCGCGTGCGACCTCGCGACGCGCGCGCGGTTCCTGATGACGGCCGTCGAGGAGGGCGTCGCGCGCGGCGACGCCGACGCCGTCGCCGCGCGAGACGCCGTCGCCGCCGCCGCGTCGATCGACGTTCCATCTTCCACCACCGAAACCGAAACCGAAACGGACGCCGACCACCTCGCGTTACTGCAGCACGCCGCCTCGGGCGTCGCGTCGGGCTCGCCCGAGGACGGACGCCTCGCGCTGCTGCTGGAGTCGTTCGCGCTGCGGTGCCGCGTCCACGGGAGGTGAGACTGCTTCCCATACGACCCCGTTCGCGTGGTGCACGCCGTTCCTTAAGGACTTTTCCCGTCGTCACTCTTCACCCGCGCTTCCCTTTCAACGTCTGACCGGTAATACGTTCGACTGACCGATCGCTTGAAGGGCGGGCGCGCCGAGCGCGGGCGCCGCGACGACGGCGGCGGCGGCGGAGCGATTGATGCGCGAGAACGGCGTCCGGTTCCGCCGCGTCGGCGGCGGCGGCGGCGGGGACGATAGCGGCGGCGACAGCGGCGGCGACAGCGGCGACAGCGGCGGCGGCGTCGCGCGCGTCGGCGCGCGGAGGTTCGCGGGCGGGTACGACCTCGTCGAGGACCCGAAGGAGGAGCGACGGCGGCGGAAGAGAGCGCGGAAGAAGAAACGAGAGAAGAAGGAGAAGAAGGACGCCAAGAGGAGAGCCAAGGAGGCTGAGGCTGAGACTGAGGCTGAGGTCGAGATCAAGGAGAAGGAGAAGGAGACGGTGGAAGATGGAACGTCAACCGACGCGGCCGCGGCGAAGAAGGCGGCGAAGAAGCGGAAAGCGCAGCCGTGGGACGCGATCGAAGACGACGACGACGACGACGGCGGCGGCGGCGGCGGCGGCGGCGCGGCGGCGGGCGACCTCACGCTGTGGCGCGTCGAGAGCGACGGGTGGTGCATGGCGTGGGGGATCGCGGAGCTGCTCGATCATCTCGTCGATCACGCGCTGGCGCGGTGGTTGGCGTGGGTCGCCGCAGCCGCGAAGACCGCCGCCGCGGGGGGGGAGAGCGCAGGGCGAACTCGCGCGACCGGGGCGGGTTTTTAGATCATCGATCGGTTGAAAGTGGACGCGATCAAGTATTGAAACCGAGGGATGGGTGAAAAACGCTCCTGACTGAAAAAACGGCCGCCGTTCGGTATTTTTTTCGAGATCGGCGCCCTCAGACGACGACGCGCGCGCGCGCGATACGCACGACGCGCGTGCCTCCGCCCCCTCCCCGCGCGCGCTCGACGGTCCCGACGCGCGCTCGCGGCCGCGCGACCTCGCGGCGTCGTCCCCCGCGGCTCCCAAACCCAAACTCGTCGTCGTTTTCGAAGGATCGATCCTCGGTCGTCGGGATACCGACAGACACGCCGCCACGATGTGGACGCATCGCGCGCGGTCCGCGGGTCCGCGACCGCTCTCGCCGACAGACGCGGCGTGCGATCGCCATCGTCATCGCGTCGTCGTCTCCTCCGCGTGGACGACGACCCGCGACGACGCGTGGACGCACCGCGCGCACGCCGCGGGAGGCGACGCGACGATCGGGTGCTGGACGCGAGCGTTCGTCCATCCGCTCGTGCTGATCCTCTTGTTCTACGCGCGCGGCGCGCGCGCGTTCCAGCCGCCCAGCCTAAGCGAGCTCAAGACCGCGGTGGACCACTGCCTCGATAACGTCGCCGCGTCTGGAGCGGGTTGCACGGCGACGAGCGACGGTCAGGCGATCGCGGATTGGGACACGAGCTCGGTCACGAGCATGAATAGTCTGTTCGACTCAAAAGCCTCGTTCGACACGGACATATCCGGTTGGAACACCGCAGCGGTGACGGACATGGCGCACATGTTCAACGGCGCGACGGCTTTCAATCAAGACATCTCTGGTTGGAACACCGCGTCGGTGACGACCATGAGGTACATGTTCAGGAGCGCGACGACTTTCAATCAAGGCATCTCTGGTTGGAACACCGCGGCGGTGACGGACATGGCGCGCATGTTCTACGGCGCGACGGCTTTTAATCAAGCCATCTCTGGATGGGACACGTCATCGGTGACGACCATGGCGGCCATGTTCTACGGCGCGACGGCTTTTAATCAAGCCATCTCTGGATGGGACACGTCATCGGTGACGACCATGGCGTCCATGTTCTCGAGAGCGACGAGTTTCAACGCAGACGTCACGGGATGGGACGAGAGCGCTCTCGCGACGGCGAACAATATGTTTTACGACGCTACCGCGTGGACGACCGCGTTCACGAACTGCGGATACACCGCGGGGTCGCCGGACGCGTCGATATGCACGGGGAGCTCGTACGCGAGCTCGTCCGCGGCGACGAACGGGCCGCCGAGCGCGTGGCAAGAGAACCCGTCGCCACCGCCGCCGCCGCCGTCGCCGCCGCCGCCGTCGCCGCCCCCGCCGCCGTCGCCGCCCCCGCCGCCGCCGCCGTCGCCCCCGCCGCCGTCGCCGCCCCCGCCCCCGCTGCCGCCGTCGTCGCCGCCGCCCTCCCCAGCGGACGACGGAGATGTCGACGCCGTCACCGCGGTCGTCGGGTCGGCGGTGCTTCTGTTTATCGTGCTGGCGTCGGTCGCGTGTTGGTGGCGGCGGCTGAAGGCGACGCAGCGGGGACGCGACGACGACGACGACGACGACGACGACGACGACGACCGCGGGACGCCGATCGCGACGCTGACGTGGCCGTGGATCACGGCGTCCAGGGTGAAAGGCCGGTCGGAGCTCGCGTGGGACGACGCGGCGCCGCCGACGCCCAAGGTGCGCGTGTGAAGAAGAAGCCTACTGTAATTTATTTGGATGCGTTCTGTCTGGTCGTTCGCTCGCGGGGACTCCCTGCCCGCGGTCGGCGCCGCCGACGTGTCATCCTCCTCGGCGAGAAGTCCGAGACCTCGGCACCGCCGCCGACCGGACCGCGCGGCCGCCGCCTCCTCCTCCTCCTCACTCCGTCGCGCGCGCTCCATCGCGGACCCGCCGACCCGCCGTCTCTCTCGCCTCGAGACCGCCGCCGCGGTCCTCGCCTCGGTCCGGCCTCGCTCGCGCGCCGCCGCCCGCCCGCCGCCGCCGCGCGCGTCGTCTTCGATCGAAGTTTTTTCCGCGTCGACGTCGATCGATCGCGCGTCGTCATGGCGCAGGACGGATGCCAGCCGATGGAGCGCTTCTCCTTCGCGAAGAACGGCAGCGCGCAGAAATCGTGGGCGTCGTGCCCGTCGTCTAGGAACGACGCGTACCCCGCGGGCGGCGGCGGCGGCGGCGGCGGCGGCCCCGCGGGAGGAAGCTACGCGACGCGGCCCTACTCCGTGAGCGGCTACGTGAATGGCTACAACCCGTCGCTTCCGGCGTATCCGCCGACGCGCGCGCAGATCGAGGCCGCGGCGAAGCGCGGCGGCGGCGGCGGCGGCGCGCCCGCGCGCGCCGGCGGCGGATACTCCGGCGAGATCGCGGACCAGATGAGCGCGCAGATCCGCTTCGAGCAGCGGCGCGGCGGCGGCGGCGGTCCGACGATGCCCCCGCCCCCCGGGCAGGACTTCAGCAAGCTGTCCGAAACCTCCGGCGGGCTCACCTACGGCGGCCACGGCGCGTGGGACGGCCCCGCGCCGCGCGGCGACCCCACCAAGCCCGCGCCCGGGACCCCCTACTACGTTCGCGCGCCCCCCGAGCCCGCGCACGACCCGAGCAAGGAGGAGCGCGACGTCAAGCTCGGCGTCGGGGAAGACCGCGGGCGACTCCCCGTCCTGGGCTGCGACGCCGCGCACGCCGCGATCGCAATCCCTCTCGGGTACCGCCACATCAGGTGCGGCGGGAGCGACGATCCGCATCTTCCCGCGGTCGCGGCCGCGATCGCTGCGGCCGGGCCGGTCGGCGGGCGCGACGCGCTGTTCGTCTCCGCGAAGCTGTCGCCGTCGGACGTCGCGAGCGGCGACGTCGCCGCGGCGACGGCGGCGATTCTCGCGTCGCTGAAGATTCAAAAGCTCGACCTCCTGTCCATCGAGTGGCCCACCGGCGACGCCGCGACGCTCGCGCGGACGTGGAGCGCGCTCGAGGCGCTCGTCGCGTCCGGGAAGACGACTGCGATCGGCCTCGCGAACGCGTCCGTGCCCGTCGTGGAGTCCGTCTGTAAAGCCGCGACGATCAAGCCCGTCGTGAACGAAGTCGAGGCGCACCCGCTCATGGCGCACCGGAAGCTCGTGGGCGTGTGCCGCAGGTACGGCGTCGTCGCCGCCGCGCACGCGCCGCTCGGGGGGTTACACGCGACGCTACTGACGCACCCGAAGTTGCTCGAGGCGGCGAAGCTCGGAGGAGGAGGCGCGGAGAAGGACGGGCGAGGGGTGGACGGGAAGAAGAGCGCCGAGGAACTTCTCGCGCGGTGGTCCGCGCAGAGGGGCGTGCCGTTCGCGCTCGACGCCGGCGCGTCCGAGGAGACGGTCCGCGCGGTCGCGAACGTCCACGCGTTCCGTCTCACGAACGCGCAGAAGGTTCTCATCGACGGCATGGAGCCGCCGCCGCGGGAGGGGGGGGTTCGGTTCGTGAACCCCCCGGCCGGGATCGACTTCGCGTTCGACGATCCGTTCCTCGGCGGCGTCGCGAGGCCGGGTCTTGACTTGGAGAAGGCTGGCGCGCTGTGATGGACGCGACGCGACGGACGATCGTGTGCGCGCGAGGCGGAGGACGAGGAGGACGAGGAGATGAGGGAGAGTGGGACGACGACGACGCGACGCGCGCGTCGTCGGAGTCGCGTTGCTTTGCTTAATACAGTTACTGTAGACCGCCCATCGCTCGCGTCGCGTCGCTCACAGCTTGCACTCTTCTGAGACTCACTCTGATGAAACGGTCGCGGACTCCAGATGGACGAATGTCGCGTCGTCCGACGACGCCGTCACTTCACCCGCGCGCGCGATGGTCTCGCACCGCGCGGCGCCCAGCCCGGAGAACATCGTCGTCGCCGTGTTCGTCGGTCTCAGCCTCGGCATCGCGGCGTCGTTCGTCTTCCTGTGCGCGTGCGTCCTCGGGGCGCGCGCGTATCACCATCAGATTCAGATTTCCGAGGCGCGAGCCAGCGTCGCGAACGCGTCGCGGATCGAGGCGCGCGCGAACCGCGACCGGAAGGACGACGACGACGACGTCGACGACGTCGACGTCGTCTTGCGCACGATGCGCGGCGTCGTCGTCGAGCACCCGGGCGGGGAGACCGACTTCGCGACTTCGCGGTCCCCGGTCGCCGACGTCGTCGAGCGTCCCATCGTCGTCGCGAGATCGCGTCGTGGCGCGTCGGGCGGTTCAGGTTCTTGAAGGCGGGAGGGCGCGCCCGCCGCGGTTCCGCCGCGCCCGCCGCGCGTCTCCTCGCCTGCTTATCATCGCGGCGGGACGCGCGCGCACTCGCGCGCGCGCGCGCGTCGACATCCTCCTCTCCGACCATGCCGAACCATCGATGCGCGCGCGCGGTCGCCGCGTTCCGCGAAGCGCTCCTCGCGTCGTCGTCGTCGTCGTCGTCGTCGTCTCGCGTCGACGACGGTCCGCGCGCGAACGACGACGACGCGCGTCGTCCGTTACCGACGATCGCGATGCCTCGCGAGGGTCCGCGGCCTCCCCGCGAACGCGCGCGCGACGACGCGCGCGCGCGGCTCGCGTTCCTTCTCATCGCGTGCTTGTCCGTGACGTGCGCGGGCGCGGAAGACGCGAGCGCGAGCGCGAGCGCGAGCGCGGCGGCGTGGACGCCGCCCATCTGCGGAGGGATCTCGGCCGATGACTGCGCGGCGTCGTTGCTGGCGTGGGAAAAAGACGTCCGCGCGTTGCAATCGCTCCACCGGTCGTGCGGCGGCGGGAACGAGTGGCCCGGCGCGTGGGCACCGGTGCCGTCGTTCAACGGCACTCTAGACGACTGGAAGGCGCTGTGCGGCGCGGAGGGCGCGTCGTCGGAGGGCGCCGCGGAGCTCGCGTGCGACGCCGACGGAAGGATCGCGACTTTACGGTGGAAACAAAGCGTCAAGCTGTCGTGCCCGGAGATTGGATTCCCGGAGGCGTTCGCGGACCTCACGGAACTCCGCGTCCTCGAGATGCGCGGCGCGTTCACCACCGGCAAGATGCTTGTCTCGAGGCTCCTGAGCGCGACGACGACGCTGACGCTGAAGAAGCTGACGACGATCGACCTGGGAGGAAATTCGCTCGCCGGCGCGCCGCCGTCGATGTGCGACGTCGGCGCCTTCGCCTCGGGCGCCGCGGCGACGCTCACGACGCTGCGTCTGAACGACAACGCGCTGACCGGACCGCCGCCGGCGGCGTTCGCGTCGTGCCTGTCGTCGCTCGAGGAGCTCGACGTGTCGGACAACGATCTGACCGGGCAGCTCCCGGACGCGTGGGCGGCGATGGGGGCGCTGCAGACGTTGCGCGCGTCGGACAACGCGCGACTCGGCGGGGTCGTGCCGCCGGCGTGGTTCGCCGACCGAAGCGCGATGAACGCGCTGCAGACGATCGAGATGCGGCGCTGCGGACTTTCCGGTCCGATCCCGCCAGGGATTTTCAACGCGACGGACGCGAAGGTGATCGATCTGCGCGAGAACGCGCTGAACGGGTCGCTGCCGGCGGCGGCGGCGGCGACGACGCGACACGGCGCGGAACTGTTCCTCGCGCGAAACGACCTCGCCGGCGTCCTTCCGAGCGGTTTGTTCGCGAACGACGCGGTGAAGACGATCGACGTCGCCGGGAACGCGTTCAACGGGTCGCTGCCGAACATCACCGGCGCGGCGTTGCAACATCTTGACGTGAGCTCCAATCATTTCACCGGGTTATTCCCGACGTTGGGAGGAGGGGGCGCGTCGAGCACGCCGCAAATGACGTTTTTATCCGTCTCCGGGAACGCGCTCACCGGTTCGATCCCTCCTTCGCTGTCGTCGTTGACGAAGCTCCAGGAGTTTCGCGCGAGCGACAACGCGCTGACCGGCGCGTTCCCGGACGTGTCGGCTCTGCGATATCTGCGCGTCGTCGACGTCTCCGGGAACGCGCTCGAGAGCGGCCTCGGCGCGTGGCTGGAATCGCCAAAATTGACGCGCGTGAATTTCGCGCGAAACGCGTTGCGGCAGTCGTTGCCGTCGACGACGTGCGGGATTAACCTCGAGACGCTGGACCTCCGCGAGAATTTCATTCACGGACAGTTGCCGGACTCGATAGGCGACTGCGCGCGGCTTCGAGAGCTTCACTTGAGCGCGAGGGCGACGGGAAACGGAAGCGGAAACGACGCCGGCGTCGCGATAGCCCTCCCGAACGCGTCGGCGTGGTCCACGCTCGCGAATTTGACGGATCTCACGCTCTTGCGCGTCGGGCTCAACGGGACGCTCCCGTCGTCGTTGTTAACGCTCCCGGCGATTCAAACGTTGGACGCGTCGCACAACGCGCTGAGCGGGACCCTGCCCGCGGTCGCCGCCGGGTCGTTGACGACGCTTCGAACGCTGACGTTGAACGATAACGCGCTCGACGGCGAGGTCCCCGCGTCGTTGCTCGCGGCGCCGTCGCTCGAGACGCTGCGGCTGAGCGACAACCGACTCACCGGAATAGAGACGCCCGCGCCCGGGTCGTCGAGTTCGATCGACGTCAGCGGCGTGACCGGTCTGTACCTCGCGGGGAATAATCTGACGTCGTTCCCGAGCGCGCTTCAGAACGCGACGTCGCTGACTGCGCTGGATCTCTCCGACAACGCGTTGGAAGGATCGCCGCCGCCGTGGCTTGGACGCGCGTCGACGCTCGTGACGTTACGACTCGGCGGGAATAAGATAACAGGCGCGCTCGACCACTGGCTCGCGAACAACACGCTGATACGTCTGCACACGTTGTCTCTGGAGGGGAACGTCGGGATAACGGGGCCGCTCAGCGCGGCGGCGATCGCGAACTTGTCCTCGCTGGCGGTGTTAAACGTCGCGGGGATTCAGACGTTCGGCGACTTCCCCGCCGCGCTCGGCGCCGTCGGCGCGAGCCTCGGCGCGCTGCGCGAGCTCACCGCGTCGCGCGCCGGGCTCACCGGGTCGCTGCCCTCGACGTTATTCGCCTCGCTGCCGGCGCTCGAGCGTTTGGACCTCTCGAACAACGCGCTGCGCGGCTCGATCCCGCGCGACGACGACGGCGTGACGCGTCACTCGGAACTTGTGAAATTGTTCCTCAACGACAACGCGTTCGACGGCACCGTGCCTTCGCTCCCCGCGTCGCTTCTCTCCGCGGCGGCGTCTGACCCGAACGGCGCGGCGCACGTCGTGAACTTGACGTCCGCGGCCGCGAACGCGGCCGGGTTCGAGTGCCCGTTACCGAGCGCGCACGTCGCGTACGCGGGCGTCGCGTGCGAATGCGCCGCCGGCCGTTTCGGTTCGGACCTCGGTCGACTCCGATGCGATCCGTGCGACGCCGGGACGTTCTCCGCCGCCGCCGGCGCGGCGACGTGCGACGCGTGCGCCGCGGGCACGCACGCGTCGGCGCGCGGCGCGACCGCGTGCGAGGCGTGCGGCGTCGGCGTCGTCGCGGCGAACCCCGGATCCACCGAATGCGTCGCGTGCGAAAGCGGAAACGTCGCCGTCGACGCGTCGACGTGCGCGACCTGCCCGGCGGGGTACGAACCGAACGCGAACGGCACCTCCTGCGTCGCGTGCGCGCCGGGGTATCACTCCTCCGCGTCCTCCGCGTGCGTCGCGTGCGCGGCGGGGACGCGCGCGGCGAGCGCGGCGGCGACGACGTGCGACGCGTGCGCGCCCGGAACGTATCAAAACGCCGCCGGCGCGGCGTCGTGCGCGCCGTGCCCCGTCGGCACGTACCGCGCCACCGAAGGCGCGTCGAGCCTCGCGCAGTGCCTTCCCTGTTCGAGCGGGTCCCACTCGAACGCAAGGGGGGCCGCGTCTTGCGCGCTGTGCCCGGCGCATCAGCATGCGCCGGAGGATGGCGCGACGTCGTGCGTCGACTGCGCGAGCGGCGCCGCCGGAAGCGCGTCGCGCGCGTCGTGCGAGTGCCTCCCGGGGTACGAAACGAAACAGAAAACGAAACCGTCGAGCGGCGATGATCACGGGTACGAGTGCGTCGCGTGCGAGCCGGGGACGCACGCGACGCACCGCGGGTCGTCGTCGTGCGCGCTGTGCGTCGGGAAGACGTTCGCGCCGAACGCGACGACGGCGACGTGCGCCGCGTTGAGCTCCGGGAACGTCGGGGCTTCGTATCTCGACCCGGACAAAAAGCAAGGCGCGCGCGCGCAGGTCCCGTGCGCGCCCGGCACGTACGCGAAGACGACGGTGCCGTACCTCGCGATGGTGTCCACGTGCGAGGCGTGCCCGGACGGGACGGTGTCCGCGAATAACGCGTCGACGCGGTGCGCGAGTTGCCGCTACGGCTCGGAAGCCGCGGCGAACAAGACGACGTGCGTGGCGACCGAGGACATCAGCGAGGGCGACTACGCGGACTACGAGAGCGAGGACGATTTCGATT